CCCCGTGGTCAGACACCTTTCAATGACAAAGCCAAGAAAAATATTACAGAAATTTATTGTAAGTTTTTATTCTGTTAACATAATTACATTGAAGTGGTACATTCATGTACTTTTTTGTTTATTCAAAATTTGTTGTTCAAAAGCGATTTTGTCTTTGCTGTACTTCAGCTGTGTGTAAACTACAAACAGATATCTTATCAGTTGTTTGTAAATAGCAAATAAAGAAAGTGGCTCAACTTAAAACTATTTACCCTCAGTTCAGTTATGTTTGTAAACCATGCATATTAATGAGATGCACTAGTTGGGTGTACACTGGATAAACAAAAACTTGGCCATTTGTTTGCACACAAGAAAAAATCAGTTTACTTGTACAAGATATTTTTTTTTCAATAAAATAAAAACACCAATGTATGTAGCATGCCTTAGGGAGCTATTCGTGTGATTTTCCAAAAAAAACGTGAAAAGTGCTCAAAAAACTATTCTGCTACCTTAAACACCTAACAGGTTCTTTTAGTGCCCTATAGAGTCACATTGAATATTTGTCTTGCTAATCTGTTACCATCCAGTATTACGTGCGACTTCAATGAGATCCTTCATTAGTTTTACAACAGTTGCATACTTCTTTCTTATAATCTTCGTTTCAAATATTTTTTTTTCTCCCTGTTACAACTGTAACGACCTTTGACCAGACCCCCCCCCCCTTCTCCAACGCTGTGGTTTTACCTGGATATAATTCGCTTGAGCTCATTTCACACGCGATTTTGCTGAACTAATAAATACCGTGACGGTGTGTTTAAGTAAATAGGCATATGAATTTACGAACAGTAATTGTCATACAAAAGAAATCTTTGAGTAAAACTACAAATAGCAGACAAGACACGATGCCATGCTTCCAACAGTCGCACATAAAAACTACTTGCAGTGCTGTTTTGCAACATTATAGAATCAACGCTATGCATTGTATATATTGTTTTAATCCAGTGTTAAAATATCAAAAAGTGTAGGCACACTTACCTTGGGTGCAAGATGCAAGAGCTAACGGCGGAAATTGGATTGATAACAATTTATTTTCATCAACGCGGAAAACAAAATGGCGAACAAGCGTGAGCCCGACGTCTGACAATAAAGCTACCTAGGGTGCTGAGAATAAATGCGTACATGTGAAACCCATGTAATAAAATTCATAAAACACTTAATATCTCTACCGTTTATTGCTTTATATATATTCCAAATTAATTTCTCAACGTGATGAAAAAGTATTTGGTGAGTTTATCACAATAGCAAAATAGTACCCATATAAAAAATTAGGCGAATATATAGTTACATATAGGGCCCTTTTATAACCTCGTTCGCAAGTGTGTCAGTCTTAACTAAGAAACAATATTAGTTCAAATTTAATTCCTCGACTTTTATTGAAATAAATTGACATATCTTTTACAGTAAAATATATTCTTGTGCATTTAAGTAAATGGTGTGATATTATAAACTTTTAAAGTTACGTTAGTTTATGTCAAATAACTTTACGATCCAGAAGAACATAGAACGAAGTCCCACAATGCATTGTAATATTTGTTCCTGTGGCCGGTTGTGAAGGTGATGTGAGTTATAGAAGGCGTACTACATTCCTTTCCATCGGGATAGTTGCCATACTAATTTATTCATATTCGCCATTGTTACGACCACAATATTATCATATTACGGATTAATGTCGTTACTGCAGGAGTAAACTGGTCAGAACTATGTTTTGATCCTGCCAATTCTAAGGTAAGAAGATCGTACGAACTTGTGTTTCTGTCGTTCTATCTGCAGCCTCTGTGAATGTGGCCGTCAGCTTTGTATATCATGGCCTTTGCTCTTATACCCGTACCCTGACCCCCTGCTTTCTGCTTATCAAATTCAATTCAACAGAATGCGTCGACCATGATCTGATTTTCGTTTTCATTTTTTTGTTGGCTTATTATCAGTTTTTACCAAAGGCAACACATTTTATTTTATTTTAATGATCCAAGTTGGTATATGCAGCTCTTTTTAACCCCATGGTTTGTTGCAGTCGGGCAGTCCGTGTCCGTAGGTGCAACTGAAGTGTTTTTGTGGTCCGGTTTTGTGGTGTGCGTGATATCTACATACTACATACCTGGGAATCTTGTCAATAAGAATATATACGTAACGCCAATTTTCGCTGTCCACCAAATTACGAATACTGGGAAGTTACCGTAAATACATTCTGTCCTGAAAGTGTGAACAACATGCATGACCTTTAAATAAAATGTTCATTTACACTATTTGTTTCTGTAATTAGATTAACAGCTCGTAAACTAATATGCATAATTTGTTTCCGACTTTGATTCTTTGGGTGTACACATGACTCAGTTATGAATTGTTCTTCATTTGTTTTCGTTATGCATATAAATCATTGCACTGGGTGTACTTCTGTCACATTGGTATTCACCATATAGTATATGATTTATAGATATTGGTGTAGAATTTGTAGACTGCTGTAGCCATCATTTTTATAGTTTGATTACAGGTATTTGGGAAGAGGTAAAAAAATGTACCACAATTTTTTTTTCAAAATTGTTAAATAATTATTGATTTAAACAGACATCAACTTTTGAGGTTTTACCAAGTTCAGCATAATTTATTTTAAAAAAAACTGTCCGGAAAATGCAAAAATGAACATTGTGAAACTGTTTCTATGGCATATGTAATATTTTATTCTGTAAAAAATAATTATGAACCATCCAAATCTCTGATAATTTGTGACAACCATAAGTACTCATCTTCACTATAGGTAACCAAACAAAATTTTGCGATATGAGAATTTTTCACAATATAATATGGTAAATTGCTAAAAAATCACTCTTTTCTTGGATGTTTGACTCATTTTTTGTGCTAACTAACCCAAACCCTTGCACTGTACAGACACATTCCCTTTACCTCCATAACTCATGATTAAAGCTTAGTTTTATAAAATTGTAAATGTTCTGGCAAACACCAATCTTAGGCATGATTGGGATCTCTGTTTTCAGTATTGTTACAACATTTGTATATAACAGGCATCTCAGAATATCTGTGGTACAGTAGAAGAATGGAGCCTCCATAAACATGTCTTTCTAGTTGTTATTTTTAATAATGGTGTATGTTTAGTTCCTGTGTCATTATCATGGTCACTGTTAAAATTGCAGCTGTCACACAAAAACCTCATTTCTAAAGCATTGGCTAATTATATTTTCAAAATTAAAATACCAGTTCTGAGCTTGCATAATGATAAAGACCCCACATTCAGTATTATTATTGTCAGTTGTAATGTTAGCTTTTGTATTTTTGATGTTCTGGGAAAGAGATTTGCTACTAGTAGTACATGTACATACAATTTATACCAGCGACCTTGCATTTCTACTGTTCTTTAGATTTTGCCCTAATACTGGACCCTGCACCTGTCATAACTGCAATTATTCAAATTATATACACTGTCCTTTGTTTGCTGTTCTTAATAGTTTAATCTTTCCAACCATTGATAACTATGCAAATGGTTGTTGATTAATAATTGATTATGCTAATATTGTAAATGTGAACAATCTTTTGTTGCTTTCACAGAATATGAATGTATTCCAGTAGTGTCGTTACTGGATTTGAGTTGTTCCTCTTGTTATATTGTGATATCTAAAATGGCCATGATGTCGACAACAGAGACACAACTACACAATGCGCAAAGTTCTATCCTGTTCATGCAACAGGAACATTCAAAGACACTACAAGGTCTCCATGTTGAGATACAAAAATTACAGAAGAAATGTTCAGACCTGACATTTGAGTTGGCCATGAAAACCACAACAACTGTGGATGAAGGTGAGTAATTAAATCTCATTCTATGTTTGCTTTCATTTCATAATCTTTTCTGTTAACAAAAACTCCCAGAAAGAAGAAATTACTTTTTCTATTTCTTTTAAAAAAAACACATTTTTTTAGTGATGCATGTGATGGACTGAAACACAATTTTTTTTTATTGGGAAGGCTTATGTATGATTTTAATTTTTGATATTTTTTTAGATAATTGTTAAAATTGAAATAAAGTCCAGGATCTATTGACAGTTGTTCTCCTGTTTGATTACAAATCCACTCAGATTTATCCTTTGCAGTATCAGGGAGGTGTATATTTATACTAAATTTTTGCAGAGAAATGTAACTATACATTACCATGCCATAATGAATTATTCATTATTAACTGTGATGTTGTATATTTATATACATAAAAATCCTGGTATTTTTTATGTGACAGCTTTCATAATGTCCTTGTTAGATCCAGACACTATTGTCATCCCAGTGTGAGTAGTTATTGTTATGTTAATACTAGTTAATTAAGTCTAGTACACTTTACCCCTATCCATCCCATAACACCTTCATGTGTACCACCATGGGATGCACCACTTTCAAGGATGTGAAATTTGAGGGGTGTGGAAGAATACATGGTAGAGGGGCAACTTGGACAACTTTTGAATGGGCAGTCCTGTGAAAATTCTGTCAAATTCTAACAAATCAATGTCCAAATTAAATAAAAGTTTGAGCACTATAATAAGTAACAACCTAATAATAGTGGATAAAAGTCACAGTGTGAATACAAACACTCTAGAATTCCTGATCTTTATCCTAAGTAACGACATAATAATAGTGGATAAAAGTCACAGTGTGAATACAAACACTCTAGAATTCCTGATCTTTATCCTAAGTAGCAACGTAATAATAGTGGATAAAAGTCACAGTGTGAATACGAACACTCTAGAATTT